GCCTATCAAAAGTTGTCTCTTATCCCTGAGAAGCCTTCTTGTTTGGTTGAATTGTCTGGTCAAGATCTTATAGGGTTGCCCCTGAGGTCTCCCTTGGCATTTAATGAGATAATATACACTCTGCCCATGTTATCTGTTCTTACTGAAAAGGGTACTGGAATTGTAACTAGTGTTCCCAGTGATTCCCCAGATGATTATATGGCCCTCCATGATTTGAAGTCGAAGCCAGCTTTCAGGGCCAAATTTGGCGTGAAGGATGAGTGGGTCTTGCCATTTGAGATAGTTCCGATTATCAACCATCCAGATTTTGGAGATAGATCAGCTGAGAGAATTTGCATTGAGAAAAAAATCAAGAGCCAGAATGAGAGAGATAAGCTTGATGAGGCAAAGAAAATAATTTACAAGGGCGGCTTTTATGAGGGAACCATGATTGTTGGAGAATTTGCTGGTATGAAAGTCCAAGAAGCGAAAGGTCTGATCAGGAGCAACCTTTTGGAGATGAATCAAGCTGTAGTATATAGTGAACCTGAGAAAAAGGTCATGTCGAGATCTGGGGATGAGTGTGTTGTGGCTTTGACTGATCAGTGGTATCTCACTTATGGAGAATCAGAATGGAGGAAGGCTGCAGAGGAGTGTTTGGCCAGTATGAATCTCTATTCTGATGAGACACGTCATGGCTTTGAGCACACTCTCAGCTGGCTTAATCAGTGGGCTTGCTCTCGCAGTTTTGGGCTTGGGACTCGTATTCCTTGGGATGAGGAATTTTTAGTTGAGTCCTTGTCTGATTCCACTATTTATATGGCATATTACACCGTGGCACATTTCTTGCAGAAAGGGGACATGTATGGTACTGACCATTCTTCAGTGAAACCGGAGCAGCTGACAGATGAGATCTGGGAATTCTTGTTCTGTGATGGGCCTTTTCCCGAAAATTCTTCCCTATCTTCTTCTCTTCTCAAGGAGATGAGGAAGGAGTTTGAGTACTGGTATCCATTTGATCTCAGAGTTTCTGGCAAGGATCTTATGCAGAATCATCTTACCTTTTGCATCTATAACCACACCGCCATCTTCCCTGAGCACCACTGGCCACGTGGTTTCAGATGCAATGGGCATATAATGCTGAACTCTGAGAAGATGTCCAAGTCTACTGGAAATTTCCGAACACTCCGGCAGGCAATTGAAGAGTTTTCTGCTGATGCCACACGCTTTGCTCTTGCAGATGCGGGTGATGGGATGGACGATGCTAACTTCGTCTTTGAAACAGCTAATGCTGCTATCTTACGTCTCACCAAAGAAATAGCATGGATGCAGGAGGTTCTTGCTGCAGAGTCATCTTTAAGAAGCGGGTCACCATCCACATATGCAGACCGCGTGTTTGCTAATGAAATAAATATTGCAGTCAAGACTACAGAGAAGAACTATAGTGAATACATGTTCCGTGAAGCTTTGAAAACTGGTTTTTATGATCTTCAGGCTGCCAGAGATGAGTACAGGCTTTCCTGTGGTTCAGGAGGCATGAACCGGAATTTGCTGTGGCGATTTATGGATGTTCAAACAAGACTTATTGCTCCGATCTGCCCACACTATGCTGAATATTCCTGGAGAGAGCTTTCGAAGAAGGATGGTTATGTCATAAAAGCTGGGTGGCCAGAGGCTGATTTGCCAGATCTTACCCTTAAGAAGGCCAATGTTTATTTGCAAGACACAATTGTCTCAATGAGGAAGCTGCTTCAGAAGCAGGTTTCTGGTTCAAAGAAAGGAATTGTTAATCTGAATAGCCAAAACAAACCTACTGTGGGCCTGATATATGTGGATGAGCAGTATCGTGGATGGAAAAAGGAATGTTTGGAGATTCTGCAGAGGAAATTTGATACGTCAACTAGCTCCTTTGCACCTGACAAAGAAATCCTCACCGAATTGCAGAAGAGTGATATTGCGCAACAAGGCAATTTCAAACAAATACAAAAGCTCTGTATGCCTTTCTTGAGGTTCAAGAAAGACGAAGTTGTGGCTGTTGGGGTTCAAGCATTGGACTTGAGGCTTCCTTTTGGTGAGATTGAAGTCCTTGAGAAGAACTCGGACTTGATCAAGAGACAGCTTGGTCTTGAGAGATTGGAGATCTTATCAATGACAGATGATGCTGTGGAGAGAGCAGGGTCTCATGCTGCAGTTGTGAGGCAGAATCCTCCATCACCAGGGGATCCAACTGCAATCTTTGTATGAGTACAATTTTTGCGGCATAAGTTAGGAACAGGTCTTGTTTGAGACCAAGATGATGTGATACTTTTCTCATTCTAGGTCATTTTTGTCCTAGCATTCTGCCTACATGCTATTATTTGCTGAAGTTTTCTGCTGAATTTTCCGATCCAAACAAGTGGTTTATTTGTTTGTGAATATGGAGCAGCTGCAATAATATCTTCACAATAGTACTCATTGACTAGATTTGACACTTCGGATGAAGCCAAGGCATCTTCGAGTTTCGGATTCTACAATGTTTCCAAGTTATACCTGCTTTTAATCGTTTCTGCTTGTAGCTTAATTGTCTTTTGATGCTGTATACCGTGTCCAAGTATGATTGCATTTTGTTTTGTAGTTTTAGGGAATTTCAGATTGCAAGGCCTTTATCAAATTTGTAATTGTTAGTCCCCTTTTCTTAGGAATTTCTGTATGTCCCATTTCTTTCTTCCAAATGGAACTTTCACTTTAGCAAATCTGTTTCATTACTTAGTGAATGAGTAAATATAAAAGTATATGGTGTTTGCTAACTTTTTGTTCCTTTTTTGAAAATTGGGAGGAACTAGTTAGTTAGCATTCAAGGTTAAGGTGAATGAGAAGTTATATTGATGTGATGATTTATTATACTCTTTATGTTACAGGAGAACAATGAATTTATTGAAAATAGGTTGCAAAAAAGGGGGATAAAAGCGCTTCCTCAAGAGTTTGGTACTTACAAAAATGAACAAAAGCAGTCCTCTAATTAACTATACGAGTGGCAGGTTTCATTACTTGGCCGAACAGAAAACATGACCTAAATTATAGCTATAGCAATTGTCTACTGAAATGAAAAACCAGCACCTTTGAAGCATTTTACTAGGGCCTGAAGTTGATCTCTTTATTCAAGACTTGAAAGAGTGAACCTGTTGCTGGTCAGGATGCTTCCCTGGTGGAAGTAGCTTATCAGGTATGTCTTCTGATCTGCAGTTTTTCAATTTGCAGGTAATTACCTCCTATGTGGGCCTTTTGGGAGGTTCAGTACATATCAAGGATGACAGTAGTATCAACTTCAAAGTCCACAAGGAGCTGCAGAAGAATGAATGCCCTCATATTCTTGCTGGAAAACCTCCAAGGATGCTTGCCTATCTTTTAGAAATGTGATCCATTTTATACTGACAAGATGCTTGAATCACTTAGTATGTCTTAGCTGTGTGCCAAATTTCCTTTTATTGGTAATATGTTCCCTTCTTTGTCTATACAAAGACGAGGAGAGACGTGCAGGAAGTATTCGACATCCTGTGACCAGTTCTTGAATTCAGAAGTCTGCCATTTTTCGATTATTTCAGCTTTCTGCAGGCGATTAGTAGTAGTGAAAGTACATCTTTAAGTTGGTTTATTGGGGAAGTAAGCAAAATGAGCCTTGTTTGAGATCCCGACACTTGTGTCGGACAACTATTTTTGCACTAAGCTTGTAGTTCCCTTGTTTTGCTGAGATTGTACTTTGGTCAAAATTTCGTGTTCAATTTTCTTTTCGGTTAGTTAAAATTTAAAAATGTGAAGAGGGACAGGAAGGTTGTTTGACCAAAAAATATGAACCTTTGGTTAAACTAATTAACTAGAAAGATAATGGATTAATCCTAGTTAAAAATAGTAACTTCAAATCTAAAATCGGCCTACGGGGATTGCGTAGGACAGTGTCGGAACAAATTTAATGCAATATGTATTAAATGTTCAAGGTCAATAATGGGATGAGGATAACAAGCATTAAATAACAATAAATGACACTAAATGTAAATAAGGAGAATAATTTACAAAATATTGAATGTGGTGGATGATTCTTCTTTATAATAATGATGTATGACAAATAACTACGGGAATATGGGAGACTTTCTCGGATCTGATGTGAAAAGTATAGAATAAACAACGAATCGAATCTCTTTAGAAAGGTAGTGTTTGTATTTATCTAGAGAGTCAACTTTTCAAGAGAGTTCTTATCAGAATCCATAATACCCCCTTTTCACCTCATCTCATTTCCTATTTATATAAGAAATGCCCCTAATCAAGCCTAAAAGTATAAGTACAAAGAATATTCAATGGAATATTTTCCTAAATATTTTATTACAAAACTAACTGTTACTATTACTCTTGGCATTTGACCTTGACCGTGATTGACTGCTCGACAATGAATCCATCAGTCATTAGTCGACCTCGGCTAAACTACCTCTAATAGCACCTCTTCGTGCCGAACATTCTTAGCCATATTTTGACCCATACAAAGGTCTTTAATGGAAATGGGATAATCTAGGTGATGTTGATGGTTTCAGTTCATTTCATAATCAAATTCCGTTACCCTTACGGGGTGATAATATGTTACTCCCTCTGTTCCAGTTGATATGAACCTATTTTTTTTGGTCCATTCCTAAAAGAATGACCCTTTCTAAATTTGGTAACAATTTATCTTAAACTTACAATTCTATCCTTAATGAGAATCTTTTATAACCACACAAATATTTTGGGCCCTTTTTTGACTTGTTTAGGACCACAAATTTCAAAAGTCTTTATTTTTTTCTTAAACTCCGTGCCTAATCAAACAGATTAATATAAATTAGAACGGAGGGAGTATATGCTTTGCTCTAATGTTTGTTCCTTTCAGCCGAGGGAAATTTATGCTGCGGACGAGGCCAAGTTGACCCTTCACGGACATGTGCATTTTTTTAAAAAATAAGAAAAAAGTTACAAGTATTAGTTAATTAACATTGATTAAGTAAAAAATCAAGTAAACTCACTCCATTCAGATAAAAATAAACTAACATCTTTCCACTGAAAATCTGTATTTGGGTTTCCGTTTGTTACGTTAATAGTGAATCTCATGAGCACCTTAACATATAAAAAAAGGTAATTAGAGACAGACTCCTCATTATCATAGTGCAGTGAAGATGGTCTTCTGCAGCGAAGCAAATTAATAAACTTCCTTTTATCGACCAACACGTCAAGGGTTCAATTCCTGCTAACTTCAAACCAAATAGTACCCAGCTACATATTGCGCAGATCTTCAAATTCTGCCGCTTCTTCTTTCTTACATATATGAGCTAATGAGCTCATCTCTGCGCTAAGCTCCAGCCATCATCATCGTCCTATTTTTTCCACTGTATTACAAACTCTTCTTTTGATTTTGTTCCTCACAAATCCAACTCTCACATAAAACCCTCTTCCCTATTCCGCCCCTTCTACACACCCCTACAACTCCCCCACCATTCCCAATCTTAAACCTCACTTTTCCCCCTCTCTTCAGTGGCAATTCAATTCCTTTCCCCTCCCATTCCATATCTTTCTTCTCCAATTTCATTTCTCTCCCCATTTCCTCATTTTTACCACAAAATCCCCAAATTTCCTTTCTTTTCCCTCCCCTTTCCTCCTCCTTCTCAATCACCGGCATTACGGGTAGCCATTTCGGAATATGCTTCCCCTCCCCTCCAATGTACTCGTTGCTATCTACATTCAGCAAACCTTTTCCTCTCCCTATAGAAAATACTTTTCTGGGCAATGGTTTTGCAAATGGAATTTCCTCCGAATACTTAGAAAAACTAACGAGATTCTTCACCGCGCCGGAGTTGAGTAAACTTCCAGTAGCTCTCCACGCTTCGGCGAATCCACTGACGGAGCTCAGCTCGTCCATGGCGGCGACAGTATCGACGAGTTGTGACTGCGTGCGGCCTGCGGAGTTTGCTGAGTCGGCGGCGGACTTAGCGATTGATCTCAAGTACCTGACCGCGACGTCGGTTAGGGTTCGGAGAGCGGGAGCTTCCGCCGCCGTGAATCCAATTGAATCGCAGATCTGCGCCACTGCTATTCTGGTTAAGGTGAAGGCGTAGTCGGATTCCGTTGAAGCCGTGGACGGAGGAGGAATCGCCGCCAGAGGACGGTTGCGGTTTGATCTCATAGTGGCGGATGAAGGGAGACGGTGTGCGGCTTTTCTTCGAGTGTCGTAAGAACAAAACCCTAGATGTTCATTGGTGGAAAGTTCTAGAGGCAGAGTGGGGGATCGAACCCGTGCCTTTATGATTTGTGCGTATATAATCTGAAAACCAGTGCGCTAGGAAATCCAACAGTACAAGTTATATATGTTTCATTATTAAATAACGAAAACAGCAGTTTCCGTTGTATGTACCATAGCATATTAAATTTATCATGTGAAAATTAAGGCATATATATATATATATATGATTATTCGTGATAAAATGATAAAAGATATTTGTAAAAAGAAAATATAGTATGTCTTTGTTGATTAAGTATAAATGGCAAGTTAAACTAAATTTTATTAACCATGAGTATTATATTTGTTTGTATTTATTTAAATTCTTTTTCACCAATAAATAATTGTTACCACTAGTTCTTTTTTTTTTTTTGGTCCAAAGTTACCATTAACTTTACAAGCCGGTAAACTGATAAAAAATGTTTAAAATCTCATTTACAATTTAAATGAAAAAAGTATCATCCCAAGAGATTACTCTAACAAGAAGTTGGAGCAAAAGGATATAAGGGAGAATTTACAGAGGCTTTGTTTATTTTTTATTACTATGATTATCATTAAAATGTCTGAATCTTAATTAGTATACATCTGATTAATAAGCTATTATGTTTAGATGTGAACGACGACTAGTTAAAATTATTTTCTTTCTTAGGATGTGAAAATGTATAAATCCTGATTTCAAATTAATCAACGTACAATTAAATGTACAATTTAAATAATCTAATAATAATGAATATTATATCTTTAAAATATTAGAGAAATTATTCATTACATAGTGTATTGTGCAATTTGCTCTAGGTTTCTGGAAAAAAGAGATATTGCCTACTCAGCAAAAAGAGGGGCTCGAGGAGAATAATGATCAACTATTCTCAATTTCAACATTATACTATACCTCTTACCCAAAAAAAAATAAAAATAAATTATACTATACCTATGAAAATTTAGGATTTGCTGCCTTTCAAGAGACCATGCTTTAATTTGATGAGAACTTAAAAATAAACAGGCTAACGAAGAGCATATATCTTAGACCTTGTTTCTCCTAATATTCCATTCTTGTGGTGTTGTGTTTTTTTTGTCCTTAAGTAATAAAATACATTGCTATAAGAGGATTTCAAAATATTTTTTTACCACCAAAAGTTTTAGAGAGACATATGTGAAGACTAAAAAAAAAGAGTAAAATCAAGATAATTTAACATTCAAAAGCACAAGCACAAATGCTAGGTCCAGCAAGTTGAGGTGCACAAGTAGCTCCAGATCCACCTCCTATTATATGCTTGCAATCAGCCAAGCAGTCTGGTTCTGGGTCATCATTCTTGCAAAATATCTCATTCAACACTTTGAAGCATGTTTTGGCTTCAACTCGTCCTACTTTCACTACATTTTCATCAACTGCATGTGATTAAAAAAAATAAATAAAGAATGTAATTAGTCAAATTAATTCTTGATGGAGACTGGCTAGGATTATCGAGCATTAACTAAACACATAGGGTCTGAGGAAGGACCACACTTTAAGGGTGTGGTGTCAGCGGCGGAGGCAAGATATCCACGATGGGGGTTCAAAATAAAAAATTTGTATCTAGCAAGAATTGAATCTATGACCTTATGAAGGTTTTAGACCCCCTTACCACTAAGCTACACATTTGTGTTGTGTTAAGAGAGTTCAAAACTTAACATATATAGGTAAAAAACAGATTTTGCCTTATATGGTGAACCCCCTTCTGTCCCCCTAAATCGCCCCTGTATGACGTAGACAGCCTACCCTAATGCAAAAGTTAGTGACTACTTTCACGGCTCAAAATCGTGACTTATAGGTTACACGGAAATAACTAAATTCTCAAAAATTCATGAACGAGTAATAACAAATTTTGGTGCTCAAATTTCGCACAACTAAAAATTTCGAAATACAAGAAAAAGAGAAGTGTATATTACCAAGGACGAGGGAAACCAAAACAAGAACACAACACAGGGATGCTAAAGACTTTACCATCGTTATTGATTTTGCTGAAGTTACAACTTTATAACAGGCGGTGTATAGAGATAATCTGATTGAGATTAGACCTCATTGACAGAAATCTAATTGAGGTTTTGTTTCTAATGCTAGAGAAAATATTGTATTTATTACATCCATATCTTGTATTTAGTGAATGGTCAAATAGTCAACTCGAAAAGAGCGGAGTGCTAAGCCCTTACAACTAGTGTATCATTAATGTGTAATGTTTGTACACTAATTATATATCGAGTAGAAATCAATTATATAGAGTATGAATTGTTCATCGATAATTAGTAACCGAGTATGTCGTATAATCGCTCTATTTTTTTTTACATATTGAAGTGAAGGGGAAATTTGAAGCGCAAGAGGGAGTAGTGTGTGGATAGTAGACGATCAACTTTCTAAACTTGATTGAATTTTTTTTCTAATCAGAGAAGAAAATCTCCGGGCTTCTAATTTTTATGGTATAAATTTCTGTTTTTCTTATGCTTTTATCATCTATTTGTGCTGAAAATTAGATTTATATTTGTGGTTCACGCCCTTTGAAACATTTTTCTAGCTACATGATTGTCGCAATCCGAATTTTCCACCATCGGGAGTTGTGATAACGCCTAGTCGTGGAAGCTAGGCAAGCCGAATATTATAAAATCATTACCCTTTTTATTAAACATGTTCAACAATTTAAAATAATAAGTGATTAAACAGCGAAATAAATTAAATAACCGGAAATGCGGAAGACGAAAACTTAATAATTCAACCCAAACACTGCTACATAATTTGAAGTACAATACTACCCAAAATTTGGTGTCACAAGTCATGGACTGTCTAAGAATACTACAAATAAGGTCTGAATGAAATACATAAGTCTGTCTCTCAATAAGTAAAAACAGAAAAAGAAAAGATAGGAGGAGACGCCAAGGCCCGCGGACGCCTGCAGGACTACCTCGAGTCGCCTGAATGGACTGAAGACAACACCCTCACTGCGGTCCAAACGCCCCAGTACTAGTATCTGTACACAGTGTAGAGTGTAGTACCAGCACAACCGACCCCATGTACTGGTAAGTGCCTAGCCTAACCTCAACGAAGTAGTGACGAGGCTAGGACCAGACTACTAAATAAACCTGTGCAATTAAATCATATATAGCGAAAATAAAAGCAAATAGTTACAGCTAAATTGGGCGGGGGAAATATGCTGCGGGGAATAAGGGATAACGATAGAATAACAGTAGAAAAATGTAAGGAACGACATAAATCAATTACTAGCAAAAAATAAGGAAATAAGGAAAACAAGTACACATGTAATACCGTTGCAGGCGTGCAACCCGATCCCATTTCATATAGTATCGTTACAGGCGTGCAACCCGCTCCCATTTCATATATTACCGTTGCAGGCGTGCAACCTGCTCCCATTTCATTTATCAACACCAATCATAAAAGAATCCCGGCAAGGGAACAATAGTATAACAACAACATCCCGGCAAGGGAACAATAATGTAACAACAACATTTCGGCAAAGGAACAATGATATAATAACAACATCCCGGCAAGGGAACAATAATATCACAACAACATCCCGGCAAGGGAACAATAATATCACAATAACATCCCGGTAAGGGAACAATAATATAATTCTCATATAAAGCACGAATAAACCACAACGGAGTCATACAAATTACAATACAAGACTCACGGACATGCTTGACACCGACGTATAGATACTCGTCACCATGCCTATATGTCGTACTCCACAGTTAACACGTAGCAATTAAGACTTGACTCCTAATCCCTCAAGCTAAGGTTAGACCAAACACTTACCTCAAACTTTCACGGCCAACTCAAGCCTCAAACACCGCTTTTCCTTTAGAATTCGCCTCCAAATTACTTGTATCTAGTCCAAATTAATTTAACAACATCAATAAATGCTAAATAATTCAATCCCAATGCTTAATTATAGGTTTTCTATTATTTTTCCCCAAAAGTCAAAAATCGACCCCGGGCCTGCTTGGTCAAAACACGAGGTTCGGACCAAAACCCGATCACCCCTTCACCCACGAGCCCAAATATGCAATTAATTTTGGAATCCGATCCAAAAAGAGGTCTAAATTCTAATTATTCAAAAAAGCCCTAACTCTACCCAAATCCCCAATTTCTACCATAAAGAATCATGATTTAGGCCTAAATATCTAATGGGTGTTAATGAAAATTGAAGAAAACAAGTCTAAGAACACATACCTATGGCTTTGTGGTGAAATCCCTCTTCAAAAATCGCCCAAGTTCGAGTTTAAGTGAAAAAGTTATGAAGTTTTGAAGAAATCCCATTTTGCTACTGTTTTAAAATAACTGGGCAGGGAACCTATGCGTTCGCACACGATTGGATGCGTTCGCATAGAACAAATGGTGACCCCCAGAATTAACTCTATGCTATCGCGGACCTACCTATGCAATCGCATAGAACAAATGATGACCCCCAGAATTAACTCTATGCTATTGCGGACCTACCTATGCAATCGCATAGAATAAATGATGACCCCTAGAATTAACTCTATGCTATCGCGAACCTACCTATGTAATCGCATAGAACAAATGATGACCCCCAGAATTAACTCTATGCTATCACGGACTTACTTATGCGATCGCATAGAACAAAAACCTCGACAACAACAAACAACAATACAACAGATTTTCTAAGTTCGAATCACCCTGACGCCTATCCGAAACTCACCCGAGCCCTCGGGGCTCTAAACCAAACATGCACGCAAGTCTAAAAACATCATACGGACTTGCTCGTGTGATCAAATTGCCAAAATAACATCTTAAACAATGAATTTAGCATAAAAATCTAAGAAAAATCTCAAAACTTTCAAAGTATCAAATTTCACAACTACGGGTCCGAATCACATCAAACAACTTCCGTTTCTTACCAATTTTACAGACGCATCTTAAATGTCATATTGAACCTGTACCGGGCTCCGAAACTAAAATACGGGCCCGATACCATAAATTTCAAATATAATAAAATTTCCAAAAACTCTTATATTTTCAGTAAAATAATTTCTTTCAAAATTTCATTTCTCGGGCTTGGGACTTCAGAATTCGATTCCGAGCATATGCCCAAGTCCCATATTTTCAAATCACAGGTCCGAGTCGGTTTACCCAAAATGTTGACCAAAGTCAACTTAAATTCAATTTTAAAGGCCAAATTAACATTTTCATCACATTTCCAC